ATTTACATTTCGACATGGCACAAGAATAAAGCCGAGCATGCGCGCAAACTACGGCAAAACTGCCGAGATATAAATAATCTTCATACTATTTTTTTTTCTCATGACCATTTTCGTTTTGAGTGAAATGCGCTATTTTTAATTGTTCACATTTGTATGCCTCTTCTTGCCGTTCAAACTGTTATTTCGTAGAAACTGAGGGCTGTGACATACGTTACGGTTGTTTCTGCTTCCAATTTTATTCTCATTCTCCCCTGCGGATCTAGATAACGTCTTCTACTGTGCTTTCGACCATGTTCCTGTTTTGCCTCACGAGCATTTCGGTATTTAGCGAATATTTTCTTCTTTATTTGTCGTTAATTGTGTGTCCCCTCTTGTTGTTCAAACTGCAACTTTCTATTGCAACTGAGGGCTGTGACAAGCGTTACTGTTGTTTCTTCTCCCAATTTATTGGTATTTTATTTTAACTGTATCGTTTTTATGTTGCTCGGCGTTCCAGTCATGTAACATGTCGCAGGCGTATTTTTTAGCTCGGCAAATGTTCTCTGCGTGCTGCTCTCAACTATACAGGCAGTAATGCCTTTTGCCACTTCCTTCCTACCCGGTGTTGCCGGTGAAAATCCAAATAAATAAAGAACGAATTTCGGAGAAGCCAGCGGCATCGTCCGAAGATGGACCATTTCGACGCTGTCCCCGGACGCCGCCGGGTTGCCGTGGATTTCGCTGACTAGTAATGAGCCGCTAGCGACGATGGCGCGTTCCTCTTGGCTCTTGGCTACGGTCGACTGCGTGTCAACGCAAGTTTGTGTACAAGCTTGGCGCAAGCGCTCTTCGCAAAAGATACGCGTCAAAAGCAGATGTGCGTATGGTTTTTACCGTAAATATTCTCGTGGACAACTTCATGTGGCTATACTTTGTCTCATCCTACGATGGACTAAAGGCCAAAGCCACGGGCAGTCAGGTCCAATCACGTTCCACGCTACACTATGACATGCCTAGCATTGATTAGGGGTGGACGAATAATGCTCCGCACCCAAAAACACTGCATCATTCCTATAGCTTCGACACTGCAAACAGCCTCTTTTTTGTAATGCAAAATTGTCGAGTCACTCAGTGCTATTTCGATTGGAACCAGTGTCCGCCCATCCCCATCAGTGATCCGAGACGCGGGCACTGATACATGCATCAATGCGCAATACGCAATTTCTAAGTGGCTCGTGATTGGATCTGGCGGTCTGTAGTTTTTGCCTTTAGTCCATCGAAGGGTGAGACGAAGTATATGCAGTCGAAGCTATGGGCGCACGAGCGCTCGAGCGCATCCAGGGCCAATGAAAGCTTTGCACGAACACTCTTCACTCGTATGAAATGCCACGGAACGTTGGTTCTGATTTCAGAATTACACTCCTACCACAGGCACCAGTGAATGCAATTTCCGTCGAATGACAGATGATCTGCGAATCAATTTGCGATCGTGACTGCGAGCGTCGCGCGTCATCGCGCTCGAGTGGCGCGCGCTGATTGGCCGATCGTCATTCGATGGAAATATCATTAACAATCCCGGGGGGGGAATCTCGAATGTTTGTTTCTCCTGTGAATTTTTTTTTTCGTACAAAAATCGAAGTTTAACTATTAAAATGCTTCTGTTCTTTACATTCTTTATACCTGGTTCGATTGTAGCGACACTATGTTGTTAGCAACCGAGCAAGAGTGGCGCGTGTGCGTGTGAGCGCGCCACTGCTTCTCCCTGCGAATTATATGCATATTATGCATTGAGCGGCGCTGCGAGCTAATTTAAAATTAAGAATACCTTCAAATCATATCAATGAGCCTTAATTTAAAAGTGGTTCATAAGAATCATAACAAATACGTTTTTATTGTCAAGGACTTCTGAGTTCGGAGCCATTTGTGGCTCACTTCTTACTTATTCGTTGAGCAATTGATAAGCTGACCACTGATCTCTGAGTGGACTGCGTTGTTCGTATCAGAAAAGTCCAGCCTCCGTGTGACTGACTCCATCTTAAAAACGAAGTTTCTTTAACCTCTCCGTGTAAGCGTTACGGCATACGTCAAGTTCCGGCCTGTTCTTGTTTACATAAAATAACATTGATCAAACTACGGTTCATGAGATAAAATAGTAAGGTCGCAGGCGAACTGGTGAATGTTAGCCATGTTGAATAAACCTAAGACTGGGGCAGAAATGAACATAAAAGTCGATGGAACAGAAAGAGAGAGGTCGAAGTCTCGTCGTGTCCCTTTCTGTTCCTTCGACTTTTACGTTCATTTCTGCCTCAGTCTCAGGTTTATTCAACATGGTTAACAGTTCATGCGTTGCACGTTTCTAAGTATGTTCTTAGCAACGTGTATATTCACCAAAAGAATAGAGCATATATCAATCAATCAACATTATTTCCTCTCCATCTGAGAGCGGATGGCAGGGGAAAAGCAGCATGTCGCTACTTGACGGAGGCCTCCAGTTTACATCCGCAGAAAAAACGCAACATGTGAGTGAACGAACAAATTAACATACATAAAGAGGGTAATCGAGTGTCTATAAAGGACAGTGGTGTCAATTGAATACACCGCGAAGGGTTAAACAAGGTAAACATAATTCAGAGTCGGACAGGCTTGCTCCGAGAGCACAAAACAATTCACATTGACTTTCAAAAATACATACGCAACTGTCTTTATTTCAAAACGTTAAGTGTCTTTGTTTTTATATGTTTTTTTTTTGTTTCCAAGAAAATACTGCCAAACTATGCGCAATTTTCTGTCGACGCTGACACGAGGACAATTCAAAACAAAAGTTAAACAAAATTCAATAACATACGCGATCCCTACTGGGATATAAGCCCGGTACACTACCAACTGATACGAGTCGAAAGCGAAGTAGCTGTCGCTTCCAATGTTAATAATACCTCGGAAGAGTAAGCGATACCTAAGGGGCTCGCTGCTAACAAGTGTTGTATGTACATGTCGTGAAAAGAAAAAAGTAAGTTGTTACGATTGCATTTACGGACGCTTCTCGATCGGCGATTTGAGAAGTAAATCTTCGTTACTACTTTGGTTACTCTACAAACAACGTCAGATCGACGGAAGAAGGTAACGTTTTAGCCACATTGTCCAAATCGGGCGTGGGCGCAAGCAGGGGGGCGTTTCAAATGGGATGAACTATCCATCAGAGACCTAAAAAGTGCTTCCTGTTTGGTTTGCGTCCACATTCCGAGCGCGTCGTCGCAGGCGTACAAGGTAGGAGCCACCCTCCTTTCTCCTAAACGGTAATAGATAATATCAGTACTATTATTAAATACAAAATGGTTGCAGCGTTGTTGTCATTACAACCTATGTGTGATTCTCTTTGTCCACCAATTTATGCATCGCCATTATAAAGCGATTTCAATCGATATCAGAGAAGTGCCACTTGGAAATTCTGCACGGCTGCAGCTGAAATAGGACCTTTACGAATCTGAAAGGACCTTCGGTCAAAGGTAATTCCGCATGCCCGTTAAACACGTGCGTTAGTTCAAGAGCAACCGAGAACGAATTATATAGAATTCAGCTGATAGCTAATGTTATTACTAGCTAATCTAATTAAACGCTCACGTATGTCAGAAGGAACTGATATTGGGGTTGAGTTCAATTCGCTGAAAATGACATTTGCCTCAAGGAAGGGGTATAACATGCCGACTGGTACTCTTCGTAATGCATTCATAATATATTACCAAATTTCATATCACCGGCATACCGTTTAAGGGTAGAAAATACACACAAAAGCCCCTCCGTATAGAGTTAGCTTCCTCATCGCTTCTTCGATTTCCACTGTGTGATCAGAGAAGTTCCTAAATAAAATTGAATGCACGCAACTTCAAACTTGAAGAATTCTATCGGTTCACATGATTACTGTCCGCAACTATGTTTGATTAAACAAACAACTAACGACAATTTGGCAAGGTAGCTTTTGATGTCGAGTGCGAAAACGTTGTGTCGATGCGATTAAGCAGAGCTTGGCTGCATCGTCAGGGAGTCGAGGTTTTTTGTAATCTGTTCGCATGTGATGATGTTTCGTTTCCGTCGATGTCACGCTAGTCGGTTTTGTTTGAATGTAGAATCAGACACAATAATCGACAATAAAGCACAGAAGGAAAAATATTTTGTCTATAAAAAAGGGTTCCGGTTCTAAATATCCAGCTATGGTTAATTGTCAAAAAGCTGATAAATTTAACACTCTTACATGTCGGAGTGCTCGCGTTTGGATTAAATAAACGCACCTTCTCCAGAAGCGAATAACTAAAATATTCAAGCTATAAAATTATTTTACCACGAAATAACAACATGTATTTTACATATTACGTACTTTTCTATTCCCATTTCGAATGTGCGGCAGCACTTTGGTCATACCTGACAAAATTGTTCTACGTGGAACACGCTTGCTGGTCGGTGAATCTCGATGCCATCGTTTCTGAACTGAGACTCACCCAGCGAATATGTATTGTTTTCTCGGTAGAAACTCTTTTGCGTCTCGATTTTGCGTCCCGCATTTTTATAGCTGAAGCCCGTCAAAAAACATACATCACGTGGTAGGCGCTATGCACTGGAATGTCCTACGCAATCATAATCTTTAGTCCCCATCATGCTAATTAGAGGGGAATAAAGAAAAAAACTGCGACTGGAAAGGGGACTCTGAAGATCAAGCGGTTTCATGGGATAACAGTAACTCTCCTAAAGAGGAGACCTATTAACGACTAATAAGCCGATACTGTCAGACAAAAATCTGTGGAATTAACTAACCCCGCGAGTGACGGACATTCGCTCCGAAAACGCAAGTCAGCCACGGCGGCGAGCAGGTTACAAAGAGAGAAACCGCCGATCGGAACGCGATCAATGGACATCTTGAGATCAAATCGTCCAAAGAGATATGAGCTTGGGGCAAAGCACAGCGACGTTTCATACAGCGACGCATGAATCATAAAAGAGACAAACACACGCACAAAAGCGATCGCACTTACGGTGGAGGTTTTCCAACGGAGCTGGCGTTTCCGAGCACGGAAGAAGTGCAGAAGCCATGGCAGCGGCTAACGAGGCACCGGATGCGGAAAGAACGGAGCCTCGAGCGATGACTTGGACGGGAGCAATAACGCCAAGCGCCGCTGAAATCAACCGAGGGCCGGCACACAAACGAGGAAAAGTGTCAGCCGAGTTGAGTGTGTACACATGTGCCACGCGGGGGCTACACGTTTATCGACAGAACAAAGCCCGCCACGACACGCAACGAGAGCGGGTAGACATCCCCGGTCGGGCACGGGGCCTCCGCGCTGATACCGAGAGCAGTTGGACCCCAGGGGCGGTTATCGTCGGACGCGATTGGGGGGGCGAGCGAGCGAGCACGCGGCCGCGAGAGGAAGGGGTTGCCGATAAGATTGCCCCAAAACGAAAACCCTTCCGCGCGCACGCTTCCAGTGCATTCTTGGAGGGCGGCAAGGGGTGGAACCCACGACGCGATCCCCGCTCCCCGCGGTGTTCCGTATATATTGTAGCTTAAAACATTTTTGTAACAAGTAATAAAAAAAAAGTGCAGATTAAAATTGGACGCGGGACATTTATTTTTTATTGCCGGCACTGACTGGCCAAGGCGGGAGTCGGTAGAAATTGAAAAGAAAACTTATGATCAAAATGGTAACCTTGAGACTAGAGGAAAAAACAAACAATTCAAAACAAAAGTAAAAGAAGGAAAAAAAAAAGGGGGGGGGGGCAACCAACATTTTAGGCTTTTTAGGGGACAAAGAGCATATCGATCGTTAAGTGTTTGAGTCGCTGTCTGTCCGCTTTATTTCTGTCCTCTTGCTGCTTCAACTTAGCTCTGCATATTCTCATTATGTTCAAGGAACACCAGCTTGACTCCACTGTAAGCAGTGTCATGATCATGATATATAATGAGAGTGCATACGAATAGATGATTGCCTTACTTCATAAACCGAGCAAAACATGCTTTTTTTTATTTAAGTTTGTGCGTTTTTTGTGAAAGAAATTTCTAGGCATATTACTATTTTTTCTGTCCTTGTCGGCTCGCTTGAGCCAGGAGGGGGAGCGAGTGCTTAGGATAAAATATTTCGGTGTATTCCGTAAACGTTTAGGGTGTGTTGTCTTAATGCGTTCTTTTTGTGTGTGGGTGTTTACTACTACACTGCACTGCTGAGCAATTTACAGGGGTGGTGAGGCATAGTCAAATAAAGCTTGTCTACCTTTTGCTTCGCTACTTGTGACACAAGATGTCAGACTAATAATAATTATTAATTTACTTCTCCATTGAGATTATCGCAATCAAATACCGCCTCGCGTGCCTGTTTGCGCTAGGACCATATAAATCCGTAAAAATGAATTTCTACGAAGTTTTCTATTTGCACGCCTAAAGACACGACACCATTTTGAAATGCACTAAATACTCATCATCCCATAAAATTAGTCAAGTGTCTACAGACAATAAAAAAGAAAACAGAGACAGGCATTTTCCGACAGACAATCACAAGTTCACAAGAGTTAGTATATATTGCTCTACAGTTTGTGGCACTGCCATTCCAAAAGGATAAATTTTATTTTTTCAGAAACGTTTGCTTAGTTGTCGCATAGATAAATAATTGGGGTGGTGAGGATATTTAGACAGCGGACGTAGTTGTACAGCCATTTCAAAGATGCGACGAGTCACTCGCTGTAGATGAGAAATTTAAGCAGTGCAGTACAACCGCTAGCCTGGGGTTTTTAACGTACACGACGCAGTAGTGGTACACGGCCGCACGCTGGTACGATGCTCATCCAGATCGAAATGGGCCCAGGATCTCTGAGTTCTGCAGCGCGAGCTTTCACTCCACGTGCTCCAATCTTGTGTGCGCTAGCCCACTCGACCCCCGATCCCCTTGTCGCATAGATAGCAGTTGTTGCATAATATAGTAATATAGTCCGCACAATTTTAGACATCTACTAGCCGCTAAAAAATAATCTTTGACACAAAAGTCGGAACGTTACGAGGCAACACTTCGTTCTAGCTTCATATGTGGTAACAACTGTCACATGTGGGTGATATATCCTCCAACTGGCACAACGCTTTATCTACTCCCGTTTGTCAAAAGCGTGCAACGTTTTAGCGTTTACAAGAAAAAAAAAGTAATAAAATTGGGGAAAGCTTTAGCAAAGGTTTTAGCTGTTTCCAAGGAAGAGTTTTTCTTTTGTGTGTCTGTGAGTTAGAAGTGCAGACTCCTAGGCGCGCTTTTATGCTCGATGATTATGGCACCTCAGATGAATATTTATTAAAGATAGAAGACACGAAAAAAAAAACTGATTTCAAGATATGGGTGATATATCGTGCCTTCAAACACGTGTTTTTGATTGTTCATCGACTGTTCGAGTCCTTATAAGCCATAAAGACCGGTTCCCACATGCAGCGAAGCGCTGCTGTAGCGCTACTCACTTGTCGTCTGCTGCTTATCGTCTGCCATGCGGAACAGTTTTGACGGTGCGATACAAAGCTGGGGAACGCTCCCGTTAGCACGCGCCTAGAGCGAGGTCAGCGTACGCTTGTAGCGCTCCGCTGCATGTGCGAGCAGGCCTCTTTAGAGTTCGCTGGCCAGCGCTAGGTTAGATAGATAGAGATTTTTATTGAAGCATGGAAAGGTAAGCCAGAGTTCGTGCTTTCTCTGACTGGCTACTGCGTGGGAGAGGGTACAGGGGAATAAGGACGATTAGAAGCAGAGTAGGTCAGGCGCACATAAACAACGCACACGCACACAGCCGAAGTTGATCGATCAGTCCTGTGTCTTCGACATACTTTTGTAGAGCTTTTAAGACGATGCGTTGATGCCGATTGTTCTTCCATGGGCCTAGGATTTCTTTTTTCCATTCAGTGGTCCGGGGTCCAGCTGGCGAAGTATTCTTTTCATGCATTCTCGTTGAGTTTGGTACTTAGCGCATGCGAACAATATATGCTCTACATTCTCCTTGCGATTGCAAGTGATGCACATAGGAGTGTCACTTGGGCCAAGAAGAAAATTATAGCTGCCAGTGTAGGCCACCCGGAGTCGTAGCCTGTGGTACAAAGTTTCGAGTGTGCTAGGTAGGGTATCTGACAGTTGCATCGTTAATTCTGGATCGACTGCGTGTAATTTGCTATTTTGATGAACTGATGAAGACCACAACTGCGTAATTATAGAGTTAATTACTTTTTTTTGGAGCATATTAAGCGCTTTGTCCTGTCTTCGCTTTCTTTCCTGTGTTCGTCCCCTGTCGCGCTAACTGTGTGTACAACCAACTAGGCCATCAAATTATTTTGCTGCATATTATGTCATATATGGTGAATGGAACTTTCTTAAGCTTTCCAAGTTTGTGTCCGCTTTTGGCAGCCCTGTCAGCTTGTTCATTTCTGCTGATGCTGCAGTGACCTGGAATCCACTGCATTATTATGTGATGACCTAGTCAGTATACTTGTCCCACCTGTAAGTGGCAAGTATTATTGCGGCATGATTTCCCAAATGTCATTAGGCTAGGATGGCCCATTTTTGTGTATTTGTTGATTTTGAAATATAAGTAATCGCCAACAGAATACCATGTAGTTCTGCTGTTGTAGATGCTGTTCGGTGGGATAGCCGTGCGGTCTCAAGTACATTGTGCTGGGGAATTACGAAGGCAGAGGAAGATGATGTTTCGGTTGTGCATCCATCAGTATATACAAATACATGGTCTTTGTATACATTAGATATGTGAAGCATAGTTTGTTGAAATCGAGCGGGTACCGCTGGTGTCATTGATTGCCCCCATTCCACGTATCTCAGTATTAATTCTGATAGAAAGCATAATCCAATGCGGTGGTACGGTTGCTCAGCTGTGCTTTGTCAACGAAAACATGTCTTTACACCGCTTTTGTATTCCTTGCCCAAATGTCGAATGTAGCCTTTTTCGGGCAATGTTTCGCATATCGTGTCTCTTATGTTGCTGAGTGATGTGGCGCAGGTGTACTCGTAAATATTCTTGCGTTTTCATAGGGTTGACAGATACTTTCCTCGTTTCAGGCATCGTATCACGAGTAGACGTGCCCCTCGGAAGACCAAAGGAGACTTTAAGAGCATTCGTCTGCGCTGTTTGCAGGTTTTTGATGGTAGTTTCGCTAGCACCATGAAGCATTAGTGCACTATATCTGGGAACTCCGTCTGCGAGAGAGCATTCTAGGGCAAGCATTGCGGAGCGCTAGCATCCCCATGCAGTGCCCCAGCTAGGCACCGTAATACTCCGATGACTGCGTCAATCTTTTTCCTTATTCGGTTTGCCTCGGGCGCCCACGTGAGATTTCGATCAACGATAACCCCAAGGTATTTGTAAGATTTTTTTATATGGTAGCGGATGTCCAGCTAATAAAATAGGGTTTCGTCGCACCGATTTTTTTGTCAATGCCATTGCCGTTGTTTTCTCTGACGACAAAGTGAGCCCCAGTTTCGATAATTGTTAGCTAACCAGGTGCAAAGTTTTCTGCAGCCTACACTCTTAGAAACAAAGGTCAGTATAGTCGCCCCTATAGGGAGGAACGCTCTTGACACATATGTTCCTTCAAAAAGGGAGACACTTTCGTCGTGAAAGCAGGAGAGCGAAGTTCCTCCGTCGCCTTCGTCTTATTATGGCGGCCACGAATCGAACAAATCGAGCTCAATAAGGCTTAACGAGAACACTAAGTCTATTGTACGGAGCGAGAGGAGCAGCAAATAAAAGCGTAACACGAGCTTTCCGTGAACTGTCAATATTTTCGAAGCCGGCTTCCCCCTGCAGGTAAAGAAACACGTTTCGAAACCATGCAGTCACTCAGTCTTCTCATCGTCAGCACTGCGATGTTAAACGGAGACAACCGACACCCAGTTACTTCGCGCACTTTATGTCTTACCTTTGCTATTCCTCGAGCCAAAATTAATTCGTAAACAGCACATCACGAAAGAGTGGTAAACCATTCACCCGCAAAACCAAAAACCGCTCTAAAAAACAGCTAATTCGAAGCAGCCTCTTGGCTCGTTTTAGCACGTTAACAGGAAATTTGTGGCCTAGCCGCGTGGCATAAAAAAGGTTTAATCGTTTGCCAACAGATAGCAGGGTCTAGCAGAGTAATCGCAAGTAGCTGGCTAGGTGGCGCTAGGTACCGCCCAAGTCATGTTCTACAAAAATATCTTTATTTTATTACACCACCATTGCGCTTCGGGATCTTCGGGAACCTCTAATATACACACATGTAGACACATTACGGATACCACAAGCATCCGGTGAACATATATTGAGCGCATACACATGCATCGCACATACAAACATCAATACAACAGCACACTG